TCTGCTGGGGGACACCTTTGCTGAATCAGCACAAATATTTTGCTGTCATTGGCTAATGATATGCTAGCCAAGACTGATTAGCTACTTGATGTGTGTCAGATCATATCATACAATCTGCGCAAGAACCTCTTGTATTGGAGCTCTTCTCTTCGTAAAGTTTGTGGTGTGCGGAGTGCTAGACCAACAGTTAGTTGCGTGGGTTACTTAACAGCCATGGATCTATAAAGAACATCATACAGCATTCTTACATAACTTAATTTTTTTATACCTTTTCTTTTTAATATATTTTACGCTGTTTTATTTATTCATAGCCCAATCAACTTCACAAAAATATATATCACTTAAATAATAATAAACTGTAATAATAAGTGATATACAATCTATATGAGAGCAACTCAATGTCGAAATTAGGGTATCTGCGAGTCGATTAGCTCTGCGGTTTCACTCGTCTATGCTGGCAATGCCTTAGACCCTATGCCATATTCACATAATGTTCACAAATCTAAAGTAATCCCCAGATAACAAAAATATGTATAAGTTATTGATCATGTGTGAGATTATTATTGTCAACTAGTAACAAGTTGATAAAAAATATCAATACTTTTATTACATTTCTCATTTTGTTGATATAAAAATCTAAAATATATCATTATTAGTATACATCACACTTTTATATTACAACAAAACAAGTTCTCTAACAGAAAAAAATTATCTAACAGAAGAATGCAAACGTGTTCGGTTGGTTTTAAGAAATATCTCCAAAGTAGTTCCGTTTTCAACGTGTTAATTATATGCAGTAAACAATTGTATTCTTTGGCTTTCTTTATTTTACATTTTTCTTATGAGTATAACCTATCACTAATTGGATTCCTGTTTTATATAACTAAACTTAAATTTCCCAGCTTAAAATATTGAAATGATTTTCAAGTATGTAGGAGACTTCAGTTGAAAGGTTTGCCTCGTTGTCGTATTCTCGCTAGTGGGTCTTGAAAGGTTATGTCATGAAGGCGGCGGAAGCGGTGGCCAGCCTCTCGTAACGTCATCATTGTCGTTTCTGGCAGCGTCACCAACAGGATAAGCATGCTTATCAGCAGGATAATGCCGACGCCCAAATAGTATTTGTAAAAGCTGTCTGGACTCTTTTTAAAGGTGACGATCACAATGATGTGGATCAGTTGCTCGATGCACACGATGAGGGCAACGCAGAAGGGCTTGACTCGCATGGGGAATGCCTCGCCCATGTAGGCGGGCGTGCACGCAACGAACAGGCCGGCAAACATCTGGAAGGCCATAGAGAGGCGACAAACCTGCCCCATGTAGTATGGACTCTGCGTGTTGGCGTAGTTGGAGTAGATGCCGGCCATGCCCAGCATCAGGCCGGCCATGCAGACAAGGCCCAGCATGGCGAGGAGCTTGCGGCCCAGCTTGTCCATCACTAATATGGAAATGAGAGTTCCGATCCAACGCAGAATTCTCCACACGATGATGGGCCAGCTGTATAGAGTGCCCTTCCAGGCTTCGCTGCTCGCTATGATTGTCTGGGTGAGCGGCATCGAGAAGCTGAATGCGACGAGGCAGCGGCAGAGCAGCATTTTGATAAAGGGAACAATGGCAACAACTAGATCGTGCCCAATGGTTTCGTGTATGCCCTCCGAGACGTAACTTTTGTTCTCTTCCAGCGCCTCATGCTGATCCCTTGGAGTTGCTCTTTTGTCCATCAGCTGCCATTGGCAATCACTTGCTTTGTCGCAATCATTGCGGCGCAGGTAAAAGATGGGCGACTCCACCGAGAGCATCAGGACGGCTATGGCAACAATAGCAAAGGCAATGCCAATGATGCCGTGCACTTGATTGTTGCCAATAGGCAGGGCCGGGTTCCACATTGAGTCCATGATCACCTGCACGGCTATGCCCAAGCCCAGGCCGGACTGCTCCACGGCGCACCACTTGCCGCGAGCGTCGTTTGGCGCCACCTCCGCGTTGTGTATGATAAAGGCCACCGATATGAAGCCAATGCCAATGCCTCCAATGTATCGAGCTGCGACCATAGCATCGTAGTTATATGGCGCACTCACACAGATAATGGCATCGATCAGCTGCAGCAGAGTTGCAAAGGCCTGGATAGAAAAACAGGATCATTACTCAAACACAATCTTATAGATAGTCTTTGATTTTCTCACTCACATAGAAGAAGAGTTTGGGCACGTGGCTAAATGCAGCTGCTCCCAATATAGCCCCAATAATGACGCCAATGAACCAACAGAACGAAAATTGTTGGGTGTCTGCAATTCCAGTGTACAAATTCCAGCCGAGGCTCTGAGCCATGTCCATGCCGCCGTAGGAAAATATTACCATTCCTATGAATTAGATTGAAGAGAAATAAAATTGGAATTTTTTTTTTCTTCTTGCTAAATTTAGCTCAATGCAATTTTCGGTAATTGATCGGAATTGCATTTGACATAGTTTTGATTGTATTTATAATTAGGTCTTCTTTTTTGGACTTTGTTATAATTGTAATTGCTTTTAGTTCTGCATATCATAGTTGCATCTATTCACCTGTTATGATGGAATGCAATCTCTGACGATTGACACAGCAATTCTGCAGCTTGCTGTCAGGTCGGGTATTACTTCCCACCTCTATAAACATATCTGGGTTGCTTTGACCCACAGCCATTTTATTTTCGTCTTTATTGGTGGTTCGTTCGATTCGATGGCTGTGCCAAAACTGTTTTCTAATGGTCAAATAAATGTGTTTTTATAAGCAAGGCACATCGATAGCATTGGTTATATTGATGTCTGCCAATCGGAATCATGCTAACTGTACAGATAACAGATAACGGACAGCAGACGGTAGACGGTCAGTAGCCGACTGTGATTCATGCGACCTAAAGTTCGGCATTTCTTTTGCGGAGACCCCACCTGAATTAAGCCCTTACGATTGATTTCGTAAAGCTGATAATTGTCGTGACTCATTGCAGTGCAGTAGAACACTTTGAAATCGGCCGTACTGAATCAGCATAGCATAACTTTGCTTAAAATCGTGTTCAATCCTGTTCAATGACTTTCAGTTGGCTTTGTAGACACTTGAAATTCAATAAATGCATTTACATGTGCATCAAATACGAATAGTCTATCGTTATTAATAGACTTTTGATAGGCTAGGTATTATTACATTTGCTCTATACAATTTGTCTATACATATTGATTTTAATTAAATAATAATTATATTACTATAAAATACAAATAGTCATTATACAATTATTTATTAATATAGAATTTTGAAATCTTACAATAGTTAGGTATATTTATCATCTATATATGATAGTGGAATTGTATGTAACTTGTTTATTTTACTGGAGGAGGACAGCTTATCATATATGTTATATATCCCTGACTACCCCAAGCTAAACAGCCAAACCTTGGTTTGGGTATTTGGTATCAAAATGCATAACAAAGACTTGTTTATTTAATTTTTTTATCATTTGATTATTTCTGTTGACAGACAATAATCTTTTGAGATGCTTTTCATGCTAACTACTAAGATCATTGCATTCCATAAATATTGACACAATTCGAACAGCGTTGAGTTGTATTATGCCATCAAAATCGTAATTGGACGCCAAGAGATGAGTTATTATTATTATTATTACGCTTTACAAGCATTTATAATTAACTAATGCACTTGGAGTGTTGGGTGTTGCCACACCTTGGCCCAACCCTAAATGACTGGCCGGGCCACTTGAGATGTGGCAAGTGTCTAATATGGATAGGACTGTGCAACATCTTCATTAGCTGACAGCGCAAACAAACGTCATTAATGTTGCACCATCAGTCGACAGCAGGCAACCGACCCAGTCAACATCCCTCTGGCGGCAATCTCAAGTGTTTGCTCGAGTTGTCTCAAATTGCGTAAAGTCTGCTCTATAACTGGAGGCTGCACCACCAGCTCCAACTCCAACTCTAACTGCAATCCCAAACCAGACTCCATCGTTGCTGTAAGCCAATCTATCTTGTGGCGCATCAAACTGTCAAATTGTACACATGTCTCTGGCACTTCTGTGAGAGGATGTTAGATGGGAGGGGAGGCTGGTGTGGGAATGCGAACTCTTGGCTGCTCCTTGTCATTTGTCACTGCTCGACAAATTAAGCAAATGTGACGCCAAATGGCCATCGCTTCCATCTGCCATCTTCGCAACGCGTCGCCTCATATTTTGAGGCATTCAAGTACATTTTAATGAGTTTATGCACCAGGCTGTCTAATGGCTCAAAAATTATGAGCGCCGCATCAAGTGCCACATCCAGCATCAGCACCAGCACCAGCCCAAGCGAGCACATATCAGCATTAGCACATGGTGCCCATAATTCACATCCAGACACAGATACAGATATATAGATACTAATACAGCTAGCTGGAGACATCTGAGCACTTTGCATTAATTTCTGTATACATACATGCCCGTCTCGTGTCTGTCTGTGCTTGCTTGTGTGCGTGTGTGTGAGCAAATGCTTCAAGGAAGTGTCTGGCAGTGCCACTAATGGAGTCTAATTACCCCGACCGACAGGCGACGACCGATGCGGATCCCTCCCAGTGCCTTTGGCTAATAAAAGCATATTAAAACGTTTGTCGTTCTTATATGCTTGACAGACAACCAGACAGATAGAAAACATTGGCGCTTGGCACTTGGCGCTTTGACTGACTGTTGCTCATTATTTATTTTCGTTCAATCCAAATAAAGCGCAGACTGTAGATCATCAGATTGCACATCTTAGCCCGATGAATTGAACAGCTCTAACAGACATAAATGTGTGATGAAAATGTTCTTCTTCAATCGTTTTCATCGCAACGCACAATTCGCTGAAAATGTGTATATATAGTTTGACGTTGAGGTCTCCATTACATTTAAGCTATATTTTAAAAACTCCAATGTCAAATCATTTAAATAGCAGCAATGAGTGATATAATAATATTTTTAGAAATCTTTATAAAATAAATAACAATATGTTTCCGCCCGGGATTGAACCGGGGGCGTTCCGCGTGTTAGGCGGATGTGATAACCACTACACCACGGAAACTTGGTCAAATTTAGTTTAGGCAAAATAAAATTTCAAGTGTCTCAAACTAAATTGAAAAAAAAATAAAATAAATAAAATAAAATAAATAAAAAATAATAATAAAAATAAACCAATTGCAAAAATTTGCGTATGCCGAAACCCGGGATTGAACCGGGGACCTTTAGATCTTCAGTCTAACGCTCTCCCAACTGAGCTATTTCGGCGATGGTGAAATTTGTGGCAAACGACTCATGGAAATCAATTTGCAATTGCAAAGCACACGCAACATATAAATATATATGTGTGTGTGTCTGCATGCATAATAATACTCTACACTGCAGAACAAAGTTGAAGTCAAACAATGTAAGCAAAACTAAAAAGAAAATGCTAGCGCCTCGACGTTCTATAAATAGATAGATGATTTCTCATGCATAATATTACTTATATGCTATATAAATCACTAAAATTCACATTTGCGCAGCTTTTGGCTCGTTTTATATTCATTTATTTATTTATTTTTTGTTAGACAGACAGCCATGAGAATTGCGCTGACAGTTGGACGTCTTTATAAATTTTGCTGCAGTTGGAAAACTTTTTGCAGCTGCAACATTTTCTCGCGCCTAAATGTAACTTAGTTCAACGGCGTCTATTTAATATTTCAAGACATTTTATGCACATCAAACAAACTTTTCAGGCTGACAATTGTTAGCTGCACTTGCGTCAATAAAAAAAAAAAAGTTTATACCAAAAAAAAAAAAACATTTTACAACATTTTTGTCAAAGAAAATAAACAATAAGCTCAAACGTGATCCACACGACATTAAATTGTCAATTTAATGATGTCTGTGCAAAATAGTATAAACATTTTATAGCATATTTAATGCTTTTCAGCGCTTGCAACTAATCGTAGCGGGCAGTATCAAAAACTAAGTGCCACGATTTTGGCAATCTTTCAAAATCTGCTGCATTTAAATCCACTGCCAAACATAAATATTGACAAAATAAACTACAAGTTCAAAATATTTACGATTTCATTAATGAAATATTCAATACATATACACAAAATATTAAATTATAAATAGAAATAAATATGCAAAAATATGCTAGTGTTTATTATTATTTTATTTAATTAATCATATAAAAGCGGTCTCGATAGTTCAGACTTGCCTTATCAGCTATTACATACCCCAAACTTATTCCTGTTGATAAGAAATAAAAATAAACAAATATTTCAACTATTTTGTGAGTAACAGTATAAAATACTGAAACTATCTGTTCTTGGCTGTATAAGTGGAGTTTGATTAGCCATCACCTTTATTATGTGATCCTACTTAATGCTTATTACTGTGACCTTCTTCATATGACATGCTTATGAGAGAGCCAATGCCGAGGCTCCTTTTGCATTTGTGTCATCGGAGCGGCTCGTGTCCCTCGCTTCGATAGCCTTGGGGCTGAGTGTCGACAAGTGGTTGAATCACCTGATACATATATATATTTTTAGGGTCGGACGTCTCTCCTGTGCGTTTTGATATCTTCTTTTCTTGTTTTTTTTTTTAAATATTTTTTTTTTTATTTGTGTGTGTAACTAATGCGGCTTCCGTTTGACGCCCCGTACTGAAAGCTGAACCCTGACGGCCATTAGCATTCTCAGGCTCAGGGAAAGGTTTGTTTTCGACGTCGGCATCGGCGTCAGCATCGGCGTCGGTGACGGTGCCGATGTCGGTGTCTTGGTGGAGCAGCAGCCTCTTCTTTGCAAATGATTCATATTGTTGAAAGCCGATCGCAGTAGCAGTCGAAATTCTTTAGAAGGCCCAACCAACGCCACGCCCACCCAGCAGCTATGATTTATGGTCAGCCCACTGCAGCAACTCAGAGCTCAGCCCAGTTGTTGACCAGGGCATTTAGTCCAAGGTAAGCAACTTTTCAATAGTCGTCGAATTTGTGGTTTTCGGTGCCATCAGCAGAATATTCATGGACAGAGCGTGTGAGATAGAGAGTGAAAGAGAGAGAGAGGGGTGCGACGAGCGGTGTCTGGAAGCGTTTTAGCTGCTGCGACTATTTGAAGCAGCTTCAAATGTGGCAACGACTACGACAATGGAGACAGCCAGACAACATACCTGTGATATGTCACGAGAATTTTTAACATTTGCACTAGAATTTCTATTTTAGTTGCGTTCACTCTCCCTCTCTCCCGCTCTCTCTCTTGCTCTTAGCTCCGCCAGCTTAAGCTGTTCACCAGCTGGCGAACCGCTTATTTCAATTGTGGATCCGATTTTGTTATTTTTATTGATGTGTTCAACAAGTGCAAATCGCTTGCTCGCCCAATTTGGTTCAAAGTTCCTTGAAACTATGCGCAATTAGATCTATGTAGTAATTGTATTACAAAGGAAAAGTTGTGTCCTCAATTCGGCCTGCTTGCAAAAGGACAGCAAAATGTTGGTTGTGGTTGTAATAAGAGGTGGACTATAGGTAGAGCAATTGGTGTAATAGATATAGAAATAATTTAATAGATGCACCTGTGAGTAAATGATCTAAACTTGGCTAATTTACGCTATAATGTTTTATTATTTATTATTTTAATATCGGAATAATCTTTGTTCGCTTGTCATATAAATATATTTGTACTAAATTTGCTTCAAATTTTGTTACTCTACATTACCGTAGACTTTAAAACTCGAAACTCTTAAATTTTCTCTCGTTTGGAACCTTTCCTGCATATTTGCCACATGTCCAAGTTGTCCGAAACTTCAGTTGGTCATATGCAAATGTCGGGCAACGTTGCAGAAGTCCTTTGGCCGAGCCCTTTCTGAATGTAAATTGACAAACTGTGCTGCAAAAACCGCAGTTGAGTTTCCAGTTAAGAGGATTGTTTTTGATTTTTTTTGTTTTGTTCTGCAATTCAATGAAAATGTTTCGTTTTCTTTTCATTTTTTTTTTTACCCAACTGCAGCATGACTTTTCGCTGTCACTGTCGCTGCATGCATATGTATGTGTGTATATGTGTGTGTGTTTGCTAGTTCGTTATAGCGGAAAATTGTGTAAGCCTGTAAGTGGGTCACTATTTGATTTGATTTGTTTATAGCACCGCAGCACCGCAACAATAACCACAGCTGGAATAGGGCTTGTCCTAGTCGCATTCACGTCTAAATGTTCGCCTGTAATTTGCCAATTGTGTCGTGGCAAAGGTACACGGCAAAACGAACGTTTCCTGTCGCCATAGCCAATTAGTCAGTGTATTCAAATTTGTCTATTTCAATTTGACTGGACTTGGCCAACAACCAGCTTGGTTGGTCGCTGGCTTGCACCGCACCACAGGCTGCAGCTGTTGCCATTGCCGTTTGACCTTTCCCAAACTCAACGTGCTCAATAATAATACATTAAAGTGGAAAACCTTCAGGCAATTAACTGATAATTGCCGAAAACGCCAATATCTGTTTGGCAATTAATTTTATTTTATATTTTATTCTTATATTTCTTTAAAAAAGCTGTGGGCTTCTCAAAATGTCAACTGTAAGCGAAATTTATGCTGACGTTGTTAATGGCTAAAACATATTTTGCAAATTGCTCAACAGATTACAAATTCGCACATTAAGAATTCCAGAATATTTTATTGACTCTAGGGGCCATTTCGTAATTTCTAGTATTATTCCCCAAGGACTGCAATATTCTTCTAACAATTTTCATGTTACTTATTTACTAAACAGTAGGAATATAATAGTAGCTATTATTATTATAGGTATAGGTATGTTTATTAAAAACTATTAATGGGTTAAATGCTTAAATGCAAGTTATATTTTTATGACATGCATAAGTAGCATACTTGTATATATATATAAATATATATATTTTTAAATATGAAATTGCATTGAAGCAATTTATTTTTGCTGAGTAACTCATACTTATAGTTATACTGGAAGCCAAAGTAATCAGTCAAGTAAGAACTGTTCAAGATATTCGAATTGAAAGTTAAATAAAAATTCTGCAAGTAAAAACTGTAAAACACACTCTAATCATACCTTAAAGCTTTGTCTGCTTTATTTATAAGATTCGATTAAGAGACAATCTTCAATCGAAAATGTATTAAAAGTCAAACTCACGCATCCCATGGCATTACTTTGCATAGTTGCCTCCAAAGATCCAACTCATTGATATTATGATTTATTTGCGGACATTCCAAACAATTTGTAGCCATTAAACGAATGAGTGAGTCCCTAGCTGCGGCGCTTTAAATCCATTCAAATTTGAATACATACATTCAATTCGTATTTATGTTTTATTTTTGTTAACAAATTAATTTCGCTGCTGCTTTGCCCCTACACACATGCATAGGAACACACACGCATTTGTTGTCTGTCTGACACTTGTCTGAACGTGTCCGAACGTGTGCCAAAGTCATTCACATTGAGCAGGTTTTGTGTTTCTCTTTCAATTTCGCACATATACAAATAAATAATAAATATTACAATTTATTTTTATTAATTTTTGTTAGCTATCTTTAGTTACCCTGTAAAAAGGTATAGCAAAATTATGTTTTTAAAGTTTTTTAATGAGATATCAGTTCTTTTTATATAAGGAAAAGTCTAGAAACTTAATCTAATTAGTATTATATTTTTTCTTAAATTAATTAATTAATTATTATTATTTGTTTATCTGAGGAAAAGTCTCAAAAAGCAATTTAATATTTATCTTAATATTAATGAATAATGAGGAAAAGTCTAGAAACTTATTCTAATTATTATTATATATTAATTTATATATTTATTATATATTTAATTTTGTATTAATTATTATTATTTGTTTATATGAGGAAAAACCTAAAAACGAAATTTAGTTATTATTATTTATTTATTTTTTCCGTATTATATATTTATTTGAGAAAAAGTCTAAAATCGTATTCTAATTATTATTATAATAATACTAATTATTAATATATTTTTAAATTAACTTTTATCTGAAAAAAAGTCTAAAAGTTTATTTTAATGATTATTATTATTTTTATTTTTTTTTTTTTTAATATTTAT